AAAGAAAAGAAGAAGAGAGAGAGAGAGAGAGAGAGAGAGAGAGAGAGAGAGAGAGAGAGAGAGAAAGACCATTTCCCGGATTTTCGAGAACCGCGTCGTTATTGGTCCACACGTACAATCGCCGAATGCAAAATTGATTTCGGCGTGTTACTCTATCATTTCCACGATCGGCAAAATCGTTTTTTGATAGGCCGCTAACGCACGAAATTTCGATGTAACGTTATTAAATTATTTTCAAACTATTGAATTGTTAACCGGCACAATACCTACCGTCATTTTACTCGACTCTCAGGTATCTCGCATCATCATTCATTCAGCGATAAACCCATTAAGTATAAACAAAAATTTATTCATTTCGCATTTGGAATTTTGTCGTTAATTTTTTCCCGAGTTAGGTCAATGTAATTTCTCAATAGAATTAATGGACATTAGAATTATTAATGGAGAGCAGAATTAAACAGTGCAATCTGCTCTCGAGCAGTAGTTTTCGCTCTTACGTGTTCAAACTTAATTCAATCAGTATAGCGCTCCCGGAGGTCCGTACGTGTTCATAGAATTTTCACGAGACGCACGAAGTAATTTACATGCGGAATGTCGGCTGTACCGTCCCGAGAAGTGAGAGGAATCGTGAGAATATGACCCGATATAGAGACGCGATGACGATCCTTAAGTCGTGAAGAAAGTAGACGGACATTCCGTTCCGACTTTCGCTCCGCGCGAGAGCGCGAACGAAGAAAATAAATTTAAAATTACCAGCTATTTCCTTTCAAAGTATAATTTGCGTGCCATCTAAATAGAATTTTTCCTGCATTGGAGGAAAATTTAAATCGCTCAAGTCCGATGGAGCGGACACGACTAACAGTATCTTTTTTTTTCTTTCCAAAGTAAAAGAACGATTTATCTTACCGCCGTGGAAGGAATAACGTTATGACAAAATTATGATATCTGATGGATTCGCGTCTGCGAATAAACATCATCTAACGATAACGTTTTTCTGTGTAAAAGGCGATTGCAATATCACCGATGCGTGAATTTCACGTGACCCTGCATGATAAACGCTCGATTTTTTCCAATTCCGGCGAAATATTCGGAAAAAACTCTCCGGCCAGGAACAAATACGTCTTTTTAGTCCATTATTTTTTATCCCATTTAACGAACGTTGGGAAAATCAAACCCTTTAAAAAATAGCAATCACTCGCATCCCGTATCTTCGATTTTTTTCGCATTTTACCCTTCCTCGTCAACATTCGAGAAGCTCTCATGCGAATCGAACGAGATCTATTTCCCCTATGAAAGATCAGCAGCAGCGCGTACTGTATTTTGTTGACAACATCTCTCGCGGATCCGTCAAAAATTTAGATCTTCTAGAATTCTTTCAAATCCCGAGGAGAGAAAGGCATTCCCCGGCATTCGGCCGGGATGGAATCTCAAGAAAAATCCGAACGGAAATCGTGGATATAAGCATGAACAGGAGAGCGAACGTGTGCATCGCGAGCCATTGAGAAGGTCTCGATTGGTCATACCTGCATTCCTGAACGACGATCGAGCGAGCCAACCAGCCAGTCGTTCGTTTCGATGCTCAGCTTTCGCCCCCGGGAAAATCCATACCCCGGACGTAAGCCGACCTGATTACCGCCGTCACGCGCCGTTGTTTCTTGTTTGCCTTTAATCTTTCGTCGCTTCGCTAACGAAAAGTATACAATTTCCGCCGACCGCGCGCGCACGCTTTTATCCCTCCCCCCTCTTTTTTTTTTCATTCGTTTCGTCGCGCTCGCCACGAGAAAATCCTCCCCTTATTCTCGTCGTCAAGCGGGACGAGGACACCACCGTCGTCAATTTGTTAGGTTCGTGCTTTTCAATCACCACGTCGGCGCCACAGAGTCGGGCATCGCCGGGATTCTGATGAACGATGATGCGATGTCTCTCGATGATTGCGCCCTGAAGGAAACCGAATGATTGCCGAGGAGGGGTGGGGGGGGGGCAGAGGGTGGAGTTGGCACCCACTCGATGCATCCTCGTCGAAATTTCATCGACACGTCGCGACGCGACACTCGCGTATCATGGACATGACATTGTGGAGGAATTATGGTGGCTGGCTGGCGGAACGAGGCTAGTCGCGAAGCGACGGGGGCGGGAGAAAGCGTGGACGAAGGGACGGCCACCGGGTGAAATATCGCGGTTTAACGTGACAGTTTAAGGGCGTTAACCCTGGCAACGCTAATGTCGTTTGTGCGACGGAAGGCGCGGCAGCCGCGCTGACCGGGGCTCTATCCACTCCCCGTACTCGTAGAAACGGCGGGGACGCGGAGGGGTGAAGGAGGGGAGAGGGAGGGATCCGTATTTCTTCCGAAACATTTATTAATACGCGTTTCCAAAGAACAAGCCTGCAATAGTCGCGCCGGATCGGATGAAAAATGGAGTAATCGCGGGACGAGAGGGAGCCAAGATTCGGGGTGAGGGGGCGAGCGTGTCGTTTATTCCGGGTAGGGGCGGTGAACGCACCTTAATTTTTATTCGACGATAAATAAATAAATAAAATAGCGTATGCGAAATTAAGAAAGGAGAAACGTTTCATTTGAAATATTCGATAAGAGATACTTTTCAGGGAGAGAGTCTGACGGAGCTGCTAAAATCGCGAAGACAGAAGGGAACTTCGATCGCGAAGCGGTTCTCTGTCACGAATATCAGCTTGCATATCGCGTCGGCGTGCAACAGTCGATCTATGCGATGCGAGTGGGAACGACGTGATGCTATCGAGGCGGGTAAATCGAGTTCTTCGTGGCTATAATTCCCGCGTGAACGTGCCTCGCAGGAATAAGGGAAGGAACGTAGCCGATGTCTATTATCAGCGGCACGATACGCAATCAATGTCGACCGAAAAACGACGTCAAACGACGACGAAACGGACGTTCCTTGTCGTATCTGGTACGGAATAGAGGGAAGGATGGTGGGGGGGGGGGAGGGGGGATTGGGATCACAGCGGAGTAATTGGTCCCGGCAACAATCGCGAAGCGATTTTAATCGGGGAGCAAAAGATAGATGGACGTGTTTTCCGATGGATTATAAAAATCACATTGCGGACAATATACGGCTGTAATTACCGGGAATCAGATTTGTGACGCCGTACTCCGCGCTTAAGATTAGCTGTAGGACCCTACCCCTATTTTCCTTCCGGCTCATCTCCAGACGTTTCGCGCGTCTCCTGGCAACCCTCCAGAGGAAAGGGTGACGCGCATCGGGCGGCACCTCTTAATAATAATAGCGATAAAGCAGCCAAAAGGGGCACCCTCGGGTCACCGCGTACGCGCGCATCCCTCCTGGATTGCGCCACTGCGGAAATGAAACTGCGACCGTATGACACGACGGGGAGAGGATCTCCCTCCCCCCACCGTTTCTTCCCGCCGTCGCGCTCTCTTCCTTCGCGACTTCTTTCCCGGTTTTACGGCTCGTTGGCAGCAGAATTTCCGCGTTAAACGCATCCGCGATTCCCCGTTTTGAAATAACGCCGCGGCGAACCGATTTAATATAATGAGATGCGACGTTTCTTAAGTAGTTGGCAGAGGAATATCGTGCTCGATGCATATTCTATGAATGCCAATGGAGCAGTAATAATAATATTCCGTCCGATAGTAACATGTTTATAATATATTTAAAAAGACAGAGAGAGAGAGAGAGAGAGAGAGAGAGAGAGAGAGAGAGAGAGAGAGAGAGAGAGAAGAAGAAGTAAGTAAGTATATAA